ATGCATTTTAATACGACACCGAACAGCAAGCGTGATTGCGTTAAGTCACGTTTAACCTTCTCCGCAGCTCGTGAAGGTCACGCACCCGGACATCAAGCTCCCGACGAAACCCCTCGACGCCGGACAGCTCGAGAACAAGATGCGCGACTCTCAGTTCCAACCCGTCCCCGCCGCCGCTCTCGCACGTTCGCCGACGGCGCGAGCGCGCGCGCAGTCGGACGGCGGCGCGTCGACCGACGACAACCAATCGACGACGAGCAGCGGGCGTCACGTGATCGTCAAGCTGCCGCCGGAACTCGACACGCACAACTACGCGAAGAGTCCGATCCTCGACGCGTCCGCCGCCGCCGGCGACGACGACGACAGCGACACGGAGCCGCCGATCCCGCCGGGGGATTCGGATCGCGAGGCCGAGCCGCAGTTCCACGTGTCGAACACCGACCACCCGGGAGCATCGTCGCTCGAGATCACGAAGCCGCTCACCGTGCGTACGCACTTCGACCGGCCGCCGTCGCCGGGCGAGAGCACCGACACGGCGTCGAACGCGAGCAGCGCGTTCAACTCTCCCGTGCGCTCGCGCTGTCCGTCGACGCAGGCGAGCCCGCGCGGGGGGCAGCACCGTGCGGCGGGGGACGCGGTCGCCGCGGGCGACGACGACGAGCGGCGAGCGCGGGAGATCGACAAGCTCGTCGTCATCAAGATGTCGAACGTCGCGTCGCGGCTGAGCGAGCCGCAGGAGGGCGCCACCGCGGCGGGGAACTCCGCCGAGGTCGGGCGCCCGAAGGAGGAGATGCAGGCGGAGACCCCTAGTGGTGGCGAGCGGAGCGAGGAGGCGGCGGAGGACGGGAGCGGAGGAAAGCATCATGCGTTCGCACCAAAAGTATGTGACGGTTGCTTGCGTGGTAGCCGGGGGCCCGAGTTAAATTTCACGCTTGTCGTTAAATCGACTACGTCACGAATTTTCTATGGTAATATTTGTAAAATTTTTGATTGTTTCTCAACTAGTTAAAAATCCAAGAAACCTGGACGATTTGATATTCTGTTCCTGACATTAATTGCTTGCTATGTGCTATGTATGAGTCACGAGTGTATGTTCACATCGAACAATATCGTAAAATAGGAAGTATAATGCAGCAATTTAACCATAAAAAGTGAACAGAATTACTTATATTTGTGAAAAAGTGGAAATTTTGTTTTTATTTTTACTATTTACGGTGACGTAATTACGGTGGTAATTCAAATTGTCCCTCGATGATGCTCTATCGGTTGAAGAACGTATATGATTTCTGAAATTATACTGGTTTTTGAAAGTTTTAGGCATACATGTAAAACCTATTTTTCCGTCTTATAGGATTTGCTCGCATTGCTGAAAAACTTGGAGAGTGAGATTGTCACCTGTGAGTCGAATCTGAAGGAAGAACAGGAAAAAAGAAAGAAGTACAAGGTGATTCTATTTCTTTGGCAATCACTGCATTAATCCCACTCTTCTTCCACGGAATAAATGGCTCTGGGGCCTGTTGTCAGAAACAAAATTAGTCTTAACATTAGTCTTAATATCAAAGTATTCTCATCGACGATTGACAGAAGCGTGGTAAAGGTGCGAGTCTTTCATGTGCAATATATCGAGCAATGTATTGTATATTAATGTCAAGGCAAATGTTAAGATTATTTTGTTTCTGACAGCGGGCCCCTGGCATCGCAACGGACATATCGCTGTTTCTCTCACCCAAAGTCGAAAACTTATGGCTATCACGTAGCATTTACCTCTCGGAACAAACACAGGTATCAGGGTCCAACAAAATCGATCTTACTTTCACACAAAGTAGAAAACTCAAGCCTATCACGTAGTAGCATCCACCTCTCGGAAGAAACAGGTGTCAGGGTCAGGCAAAATCGACCTCCTCACAGTCCGAGAGAATTTCCCTCCCCCCTCTGCATTCAACGCCGCTCGCCAGCGCCGCTCACGTCTCTGCTCTCCTCCTCGTCCGAGAGAATTTCCACCCCCCACGTTTGGCGCAGCTGCGTAACACCGCTCACGTCTCTGCTCTCTCGCTCTGCGCACAGATCGACGACTGCCGGCGGACGCACGACTACGACCCGTTCATCACGACGTTCCTGTCGATGCTAGCCGAGCAGGGCATTCTCGCGAAGCTCGTAGAACAGAACACGACCGTCAAGCGGCGGCAGGGCGTCAATGTCGGCCGCCTCAACCGCAAGACGTACAAGCGGCAGCGTGGCAAGGCCCGGCGGCGCAAGTAGCGACGGCTCGTCCTCCGCCTCGCACCTCCGGGGAGGTTCCACCTAGACGCTGAGAAAGTCTTGCCATAGTATCGCGGCAGATCCGACGCTGATTTGCGAATTCGTTGTCCGTGAGAATCGTCTGCGACGCGGCGGCGATCGGCGGTATTCTTCACACTCTGTGTGACGCGGCGTTCGCGGGCGATCGGCGGTATTCTTTACACTCCGTGTGACGCGGCGTTCGCGGGCGATCGGCGGTATTCTTTACACGCCGTGTGACACGCGGCACTCGGCCCCGCGGGCGGGTTTTTTCCCTGGGGCGATTCGATGCCGTGTCGTCGCGGCATCGACGATCCGTTGACGTTCGAAGGACGAACAGGTTAAAGTCGAGAGTAAGACGACATGTGATTGTAAACATTTGTAAATAAACTCAAATTTTACTATTGTATGTGCCAAATATCTTGTGTGATACAATTGCATTTTCTTGATTACCTGTTGATATCTATACCTTGGCTTGCCATCTAGAAACATTTTGGTAAGGCAACCTACAGGATTATCTTATATATTTTACTGATTGAATGAATCCATGCTGCATCAGCATTACTCTATTCTTGGAAGGCCAACAATCTGGTTAATTACATCTGGGTAGGTGCAGAAATGGTAAACGGGTTGGTCAGGCAGCAATCGGTGAGGAAAGTATATGCAGCACCAGACGCCCATTTTAGTGCTTTGAGTTTAGACGAAATTTCTAGAATCCTGTATGCAACAAACTGTTGCATTCATGCTTACACGTGCTACATCACCTTGCTCATTGGAAGGACATTAATTGAGAAATGATGGGATGGTGGTACGTGGTGGTATGCCCCTGCCTGCCCCCCCCCCCGCCTGCGTACGGCCCCTGCCACACACACACACACCACACAACACGCACACACACACCACACACGCACGCACTCGCACGCACGCCACGCACACACCCACCCACACACACACACACACACACACACAACACTCTCTCTCTCTGCTCTCTCTCTCTCTCTCTCTCTCTCTCCCTCCTTTCTCCTCTCTTCGTCTTTTCTTTTTTTAATGTTTGTTTGGGACAGAGGCAAGGGGTGTTTACACCCGCAAACACCCCCCCTTGCGTACGCCCACTGCAT